TGGAGCTTATCGTCGTAATTGTTGTTGTTGTCTTAGTAAAATTTGTAAACAATGATGGGACATATTTTATGAAAAGCAATTCTTAGTGCGGAGACATCTTTTATTACTCTCGTATGTTATAAGAATAAACTAGGTACATAATTTATCATGGCAAACATTATTTTATGTGTGCCATCTTTTTATAAACTCATAAAGACGTTTGTCTCCAACTATATTTCAAGAAGTGAGCTTATAGCATTGTAGCTTAGGAGCGCTGGTTTTTTGAATTTAGAATAAAATAAATATTTTCTTATTTAAGAACATATCATAGTATTTTTAATAATGCCGAATTATACATATAAGTATATAACTATACAAGAATTAGTTTTATTGTAAACGATAATTTAAATTTAAAGCCCTATATTTTTTTTTATTATTATTTTTATTAGTTTCTAGTTTAAACTATGATAGCTCAACAATTATAAAAAAGCCCTATATTAAAATATTAATATACAATTATATTATTATACTTTGAAGTTTGAATAATTGAGAATGACATATTGTATTGGATCAAATTAATATTATGAGACTTTGTTTATTGTTATAGCCGGAGCCATTTGACATTTGTCATCGTCGTATTTAAAATATTTCATTTTGGTCGATAATTATTACGTTATATTGACTATTAATACCGTATATTGACTATTTATGACGGTCGGATAAGCCATTTTACCGTAGTCGATAAGCAACCATACAATCTTAAATCGTGGTGTGAGAACCACTAAGAAGAACGGGCTAGCACACATATAATATATAAAATGTAATATATAATATATTAAGTATAATAATTAAATATATTAATTAGAAATCGTTACATTTGTCAGTGTCGCTAATATTTTCACGCGTTTACTCCCATGATTCAAGAGTAGAGCAGAGCCAGCCAAAAGAGAAGCTTTCTTTTCAATAATTGTATTGATTTACACACAACTTTTTTTTTAATGTCAACTAAAATTAACTTATGAGAAATTTTATAACATTTTCAAGTTTTTATATTTGTTATCGATGATAATTTTAAAAAAACCAATAAAAATCGAAATTTTCTTATGCCTATGAACAATCAAAAGTAGTCAAAATATTTTGATGGTAATATAATGCTAATTTAAACATTCAATGAAAATGTCATGTATATACGATTTTGTTTTAGAGTTACGCCAAAAAATCAAAATTCATTATGCGTAAAGATAATAGAACCAAATAGATTCACTTTTGTACAAGAAAAGATGCTGTTAAGTAGAGAGTCGGAACATTTTTACTGCCTCGAAGGGTGATGTGTGATGACAAGCACTAAAAAAATAAAAACACACATCGTTGCAATATCAATATCGCTCCTGTCAGAACTTAAAACTCCCAAAATTCAAATAAATTCATTATTAAATGAAAAATGAAAATAACGAGCAGCTTGGTGAATCGCCTTGCATAGTTGTATATAAAATAAGCCATTTGTAGGTTATATGTAACTATCCAATGCTTTGCACCCCGATAATTTATTTAGTTTACAGGTTGCTGCGGTTCTGGATGTTTAAATTTGAGTGTTCAGCCACTGGAATAAGACATTTAGACCAACGTCTGGGGTCTCATAAATGTTATTATTCGGTTCAATATGGCCATGGGTTAATACAGATACTAAGTATAGTTCGGGGAAAACGTATTTTTAAAACTAAAATATGCATGTACCTACCTACCAAATGTTTTAGACCAAAGGATATTTCCCAGAATGTTATTTAATTTCATAAAATATTACTGATAGTCAACGTGCGATACTACTGAATGATGAAAATATGCATAATTCATAAATGTTAAAATGTTTTGATAGGTACCTAAATACCTAATGAGAAATATTTAATAATTAATATTAATTTATTGTAAAATTAATCATTAGATAACTAATAACAATATAATTATAACCATCTAAAAAAATACATTTAAAATTAGTTACATGATGTTATCAAATTGAATTTGCAAAATAATAAATTATTTGGGTTTTGGGTTAACCAGTATGATTTATTCGCTTTTCGGTCAATTCAGGAATATTGAAAAATAAGCCATTCAGATTATATGGGTTCCAGGTATAGGGCTTTTAAGAGTTTTTAAGGGTGGGATAGTTACCGGTTAGTTTGGGTTGCAAGATCCTGGTTATATGTGTATATTTTTATGGAAATAAATCAATTTTAAATTAATTTTATACGTTAATCAATTTATGTTGATAAGAATTTGAATTATATGAAATTTTTATTAAGGAGAAAAATAATATAATATTTGTTCTTTGACAACATTCATTTAAAACAAATATATTGTAGTAATGAAAATGTATTTTACCTATATATAGAAACTGCAAGCAATGAACCAAAATATTTCGAAGTATCTCACGTTTGACGTCATAACTCATAATACAAATTAAGTACAAAATCAGATCAAGTATAGATTTTAATAATATAGTATATGTAGGACATAAGTAGTAGATATATAATATTAATTCCGACTTGATCGACGCTTTTAGAAGAGACTCTCGAGTAAAATAACATCATCATTAATATTCTACCTTTATAGAAAGTCTTATAACAAGTTGAAACACAAAATAATCACATTTTTTTTATCAACTCACCGGAAAATCTCAAAATAAATTTGAAGTGTGTTTTGGCTTAAAATGTATATATATAATACTATGTAGTATGTACATTGTAGGTACATATTGTATATAATAATAAACATATTATGCACAAAGTGTCTAACCCGCTAACCGTGTTTGTCACTGTCAATAACTTTTTTCTCATTAATATTTAAAAATATATATTTTTGATAACTATCACCAATTATGCCGTTCTAATCTATAGTTTTTTTTTCTATACCTAAAATTAAAATAAAAAAAAAATTAAAGCGTTCATTTTTGCATTTCATAAAAATGTTTTAAATTCAATATATGAAAATATTGTAAAAGTAAAAACAATTGTTTATTTTGGTTGATTTTTAAAAACTGTATGTTTAAACTTAAAATTTTTAAAACTAGGTGGTAAAGCATATTGCTATTGTGTGAATATTTTATAAAGTCTGTTTAAACTTACATTCCTATAACATTTTTGTTATTTTAATTGATCTAAAGTTAGTTTTTCAAACTGTTATTGAACTTTTACATAGTTAACATACATAGAATAATAATATACCTTCTGTTTTTAAATAATATCATTGAAGATTAACAATTGTTTAATATTTCATTGGAAAAAAACGACAAAATTTCAATGTGCGTAAAATTTATTGAGCGGAATGAAGAGCTATAAATTGTATTGATTTTACAATGAAGTGTTTTTTTTTTTTATGTTGTTACACGATTTATAGTTTTTTTTTTAACTTCAATATCATTCCTGGTAGAAAAATTATTCGACTAATTGGTACTTACTTTTATAAGGATAAAGTTAAAAATTCTCAGTAACTACTCAACATAATCGAGGAAAAAAATAAACGTGGAAAATCTGTTATTTTTACACAAAACTAATATTCTGCGAAATCGATTTTTTTATTAATTGTACTCAAAAATCTGCAACTACCCTAGATCCTATTAACATTTTTACAAAATACTTAATCTATTAAATCTTATTGTTTTTTTTTTCTATGATTACCAATAAAAAATGTTTGCTCTGTCATAAATCCGCTTGAAATTTCAATGCATAGTTTCTCTATAAATTCTCTTAAATCAAATTATAAAATTTATTTAACTTAAGACAAGTACAAGTACCCAATGCTGGGCATTAACGAGTCAAAAAGTTAAAGTTAAGTTAAAAAGTTAATTTTATTTTAACTTTTTAACTTAATTACCTAGTTACTTTTGGATTTTCATTAACTTAACTGTACTTCTTTTTTAATTAACGTGAAATTAACGAGTTAATTTTTCATTTTAAGAAGTAAGTTAAGTTAATTTATTTTGTTTTTAATTTAATTATATTTCACTATTTCAGTCTATTTTGTTTTCATTTCAAAAAATATGTACCGTAAATTGTTTAAAGTTAAACATTTATATCATTTGAATCTAACTTATATGGAAATACTGTATAAAGTATAAACACTATAGTCTATAATTTAGTTTTGGGTTGGAAAAAAATCAAGCACGCCAGCGTTGTATAAACAAATTAACTTTTTTTTAACTTAAAAAGTTAGGTAACAAAAAGTGTGTATTAACTTTTAACTTAACTGAGTTAACCTATAGTTAAATTAATTTTTAACTTTTTGTTATTGGTGCATATTAACTTGACTTAACTAAATTAAAAAAAATCATTAACTTGCCCAGCCTTGTAAGTACCTATATTATATAATTTGTGTTAGCCGTGTTATATCTTAGTGCTAAAATTTAAAAACACAATATTTATCTCACAATTATGGTTATAAACTCACACCTAGAGGCTAGAAACCTTATAAAGTTTACTATTAGTGTTTTATTATAAAATATGATAACTAATAAGAAAGTACCTACCTATGTGCTTAAAATTTAAGAAAATTAAAATTGAAATAAAATATCAATAAAAAAGATCAGGATACTCTGCTGGGTGTATACCTCGTACTATGAAAATGCAATTATTAGCTGTATACCTACATTATACCTATTATATAATTATAATATAGTTATAGTATATTGTCTATATTATACACGTATGTATTATACACTTAGGGACTTACAAAATACAAAAATCTAAACAATAATAAATTTGGATTTCACTTCTCGCTGTGAAACGTATTCAATACATAAAAATTTAAATCTCAAAATATATACCTTCTTATTTTTTAAAGTGCGTGTCACTGAGATAATGATTTAGAATATAATTATTTGAACACTTAAATATTATAATATTATAGCAAATAAAATGTACCTTTTTTTGTTTTTTTATTCGACTGTGCGTCATTGATGTAATCGCTTTAATGTTACAGATACCAGAGATCTATACGATCACAGTTCGGTGACGTATAAGTTGGCGGAAATGGAAATGCGCGTGGATCACTTGACCAGATTGTATGAACTGAAAGACAAAGACGTCCAGGAACTAATCAAGCATTTCAGCTCGGTTCTCAAAACGATCGTGAAGTCCCTGAATGTTTCCGTTTCTGAAGACATAGAATCGTTAATGGTTGCTTTCAACAAGTCCGTGGAAATGGTCAGGTCACCGATGGCACATTTCGACGTATACACATTCCTACCCCATCTGCGGTCCCACGAGAATTATTTGAGGCCTTTGATATTACATTCCGGAGGCAGAAATGCAGGTTATTTACTCATTTAATTCCACACAAGGGACCAATAAGAACGGTGTACAGATAAACAATATTAGTTACAAGCAATATACCTCTATATATTGTATTATATAGTAGCAGAAATAAATAATATATAGGTCAACAATAATATGTAGGTATTTTAAAGGCATAGTAAAAAATAAGGTATTTTTTAAAACGCCGGAGCAATGTTGAAGTTGTATATTTAATATTTTGTAGTGCAGTTGTAATATCTATTCATACATGTACCTATATTTGTTTTTATCATTAATAGATAGATACATAATAAATAATACATTTTACCATCTAAACTATGTTAGTAATTGTTAATAATATTTGTAAAAGAGAATTAAAAAAATATATTTTAATATTATTAATTCGTACAAGATGTATAAATTGTCTGTTAATAAAATCCTCAAGGACTAAATTAACTAAAATACCTACTAAGTTTTACTGTTTAACCATACACTTAAAATAATTATCTGGTGATTGCATTATAAAACACAGTGCTCTTATCTTACACGAATTTCGTTAACAATACAAATTATAGATATTTTATATTTTTATTGTTCAAATTAAATTACAAACCTAGTGTATAACTACAACTTTTACATTATAGGTACCTATAGTTAAAAATTAATTTTTAGTAAAACCAATGTTTAATATAAAATTTAAGACCAGATAATTGTTTACAAGGGCACATAATGGTTCGTAAAAATACATGTCACGATAGTATTGATATTTTATTCAATGAACTGTATATGAATGTATATAAATATATTTGTGGACCTTTATATTACAAAGTATCCTATACTAATAAAACGAATCTATAAATAGGTAGATACATAAATTGTTTGTAAAGAATTAAACTTAGGTTTAACTCTTAAACCAATAACAGAAAATATCCCCCCCAACGCAATCTATATGAACTCAAATTGATTATGTCATCTCCATCCAGGAAATAAAATAACATTTATTTATACACATTTTAGTCTCGTCTATACCTTAAATCACTTACCTATATTCTAATTTGTTTTATTCATCAGTTATTTGATTAAATATCGATTTCTCTTGCAGAATAATGAATGATGATGCCAATAATTCAAATCGACATAAAACTTAGTTATTATAGAGCTTAAAATAATTTTAAAATGTATGCGTATTTTTTTTTTAGTGTCAATGGTGTTTGGAGTTCCTACTGTTCGTCGCCAACAACAGACCTACTTGATACAGACATTGATTAACATCGTAAGCAACATGAATCAAACTGAACAAAAAGATTCGTTAATAGTAGTGATGATTGGCGAAGTAATGTATACTTGTGATTACTCAATATAAAATGTGTTACCGATAGATTAATATTTGTGTCGGACGTGTTGTAATTGTTACAGATCGATCAGGAATACACGCAACAAGTTACTGCGGAAATCAAAAATCGGTAATTATTTTCATTGCTATTACGACGCCGATTATACAAATTAAGAACTTATATTATTATTGTTGGATATTTAACTTCAGGCTACCGGAAGCAGTGAGTTCGGGTCTCTTGGACATAATTGCTCCGTCCCCGGAATATTATCCAGATTTCAACAAGCTTCGCATTACGCTCGGTGACTCCGAAGACCGGGTCCGCTGGAGGAGCAAACAAAATTTAGATTATGTTTTCTTGATGATGTACTGCCAGCCGAAAGGATCGTTTTACGTTCAACTTGAAGACGACGTAGTCGCGAAGCCGCAATTTCACACTATTATGAAAAAAACGGCTTTGCAGAGGATAGCCGACGGACAAGAGTGGTTCATATTAGACTTCTGTCGACTTGGTTTTATCGGTAAAATCCATTTAAGTGGCAAAGTATAATATCACTATAGGTAGTGGTACGAATGTACAATAGTATATTTCAATTTAGGCAAAATGATGAGATGTTCAGATTTACCGTGGCTGATACAATTCATCGTGATGTTTTATAACGATAAGCCGGGGGATTGGCTTTTAGACGGAATGATGGAGACCAAAGCTTGTAATCTTGAAAAAGATTTTGTGAGTAAATTGTTCATGGTAGGCATATACCTATTATAAGAATTAAGATTCACGAAAACAAATGTCACATAATATATTATAATCATCATTTCAAATTGAAATATGATTGGAATTGGTTTACTTAGGTATCCTATAACATGGATGATTATAAAAAAAATGCTTTAAAATACATTTCCATTAAAATTTAAAAATTCTGCATTTTTGAACCGTACAAAACAAAATCCAAACGAATCATTATTAATAGTGCTATTTTGTTAATTATTAATAAATATTGTTCTTAGAGGGATTGTCGAAAACGAAAAGACGAAATATGGGTGACATTTAGACCGTCTCTTTTTCAACATATTGGAACCAGGTCATCTTTGAACGGCAAAATTCAACTGTTGAAGGTAAAGTATTTTTATATAGAAATTTAGTACGATTAAAATAAATAGGTAAATAAAGTTTTAAGTAAATAAATATTTTTTTTGTCTCACAGGATAGTCTTTTCAAAAAAAGCGTCAACGTAAAACGGATAAATAAAATCAGAGGAAAATGACCTATGGCAAGGTACAGGTTGCCTGTAGCGAAAATCAAAAAAGATTTCATCAAACGATGATGATATAAAATAACAATGAATTGTCTGTGATTGCTCGAGTGAAATAATTTATTAATAATATGTAAGCACAGCTATTATATTATTGTATGAAAGTTCAAATTAAATCGTTGTCTGTATAATAATATAGGCATAAATAAGTCAATATGGAAATAATACCTATAATTACTGGTTATTTTCATATCATTGAATTGTATTATTATTGATTTATGTTTGTTATTCATGTGAAATACTCAAATGCACATCTGTGTATTGCATTTACTTCCACTCCATTTACGCCAAAAAAAAAAAAAAACAATGACATCTGAGATAAAAACATTTTGTAACAATATAAAATATTTACAATATTTATAGGGAAACAAATTATAACAAAAAATACACAATTATTCAGGGTTAATTTAAGGGACCTAATCATTCCAGTGTTTAATCTTTAATTAAATGCGTATACTATTATATAATAGCTGTTGTATTATGTACCTATATAGAAAAAATTAAATAAATCACATTTAAAATACTATTGTATTTAATTAAAACTACGTGCCCAAGTGATATCATTATTTTTTAGAATATGAACTATTTATAGGTACTTAAAAAAGACAAATTATTTCTACCTAGACATACGTTAAACTATTAAATATTTACCTACCTATTGAAATTATATAAGTACTTACGTGCCCAGTAAACATATTATAAATTTATTATATTAATTTTGGTTTAAGTTACTGAAATTCTAAGATCATCATAATGTAAATAATTACTGTACCTAATAATATTATCACAATGTATATAGTATAATATAATAAATAGTATAAAGTAATGGTCTTAGATGTGTTAACGTGTCATCAATGAAAATCAAACTCATAACAAATGTTAGAGACAAAAAACTTTAAAAAATCAGAAATGCAGATGATATTCAGTAGAAAAGAGATATACATATTCAGAGTTCAGATATGTCACACTGACGAAAAAAGAACCTATATTATTAAAAAGTTGATTTACTTGTGAACGTACTAATTGATAGTACCTACATTTAATAATAGTAAATTTCCATTGAAATATTTTATATGGTTAATATATATTATGATTTATGAGTGTATATTGTACAACATAATATGATATGTAGGTACCTAAGTATTTATAAGCTAATGTTACTAAATATATATTACTGTTTTGTAAAAAAAGTTGTTGATTTCATGATAACTATATAAATAAACAAGTGTACACAAAAACTTATTTTCAAAAATATATTATAATTACCTCAAATTATCTATCCTATATAGTGTATAAGTATACTATATAATTACTAGTACCGACTTCAGCTTAAGGCTCTTAAATGTCATTAATTTATAGAGTTGGATGCGCTTTGTGCGCACAATGTTTCTTGATTGGTTTTAACTTAGACCCATTATTTATACGTTATACCTAATAAACCTAGAAATATTTCGTCGTCTGTCTTCCGAGTTTTACTTGAAAATTCCAAAAGCACTTTCAACAATTATTTGAATTACATTATAATACACTAGTCAAGCGTTTATTTTACTTTATAGTTCATGGACATATTATATATTATGATAATATAATATGTGTATAAGTAATAAGTATAGTATATAGGCCTAAGGACTACGAAAGAATGAATTTATTTGAAATAAAATTGGGTTACGTGAAATGAGTTATTAAAAGCGATTGAAAAGAATTTACATTTTAGATTCTGAAAGGACTGTTGAATGTATTGATTTTACAATAGTGTTTGATTTTATTTTCGTGTCTGCAGACACTTTTTATAGTTGAAAAAATGTTCCAATCTTCAACTTCGAGGAAGGTTTTTTGTAGCAAATTGGATCTAGCTTTTACTTTGGAGAACAATTTTTCAGTATACTATACGAGATAAACGGAATAAACAAAAAAAAAAAATACGATAAAACAGGAATATTTAAGCAATAGTGCAATACCAGTGATTTTTACATATAGAGTTTTGTATAGAATTAGAGCTTTGATTTTATACATGGGTATAGTAATTGTAACCATCTGCTTACATTATTCCTTTTTGATTGAAAATGGGGGGGGGGGATAAAGAGTAAAGTCAGAATTTTATATTTGACTTCTAAAATGGTTGGGTCGTTGGAATTTCAGGTATTTCTTGGAATTGGAGAGATGTAACTACATCATTTCAACCTATACTGATTTTTTTTTTATTATTATTGATCTTGAGCCCGGCAACTATGGCCATTACCTATTGTGAGGGTTACGGTATTGGGACTGTTGATACAGTCGGTTCCCAACACGTGAATGTGTGGCAAGGACTTATCTCTAAGAACCCGGGTGGTTACCCATCCGGGAAATAGTGACGCTGACTAGTGCTGCCACTCAGAGCACATCAGTGACTATAACCAGACACCACGCCACGCTAAGCCACCTATACGGATTGATGTAGGATTAATTTTGAGTTGTGCTTGAATTACCAGCTGTCAATTAATGAATAGTATAAGCCAAGGAATGGAACTTGACCTAAAAGAACCGGTTCTGGAACTGGAACTTTTAAAATATTAGGAACCTTAACCTTTACTTTAATAAATAAAGTACCTGAACCGAACAGGAATTTTTAAATTAAATTGGTTCTTTTAGGTTTAAAAATAAAATAATGTTAATATCATAACTTAATGGTATTACTGTTTTGAGTATAAACTATGTATGTCATATAAGTTTTCTAATATTTGGCATACTATTAATGAAACCAGCGTTCTGAATATATAGGTATTTAAAACTATTATACTTATCGGTGCCTAAATTATCTGGAACCGGTACCTTTATTTTTACTATTAAAAACCAGAACCGAACCGGAAAAGTTATTTTATTAATTAAAGAGCTAAAAGTTAAAAGTAAGTTAATTAACTCGTTACTTTTTTTTTCAAGATTAACATGTTAACTTCAAGTAAATTTTATTTCAAAAGTATCTAAATTAAGTTAATTTTAATCCAGAGGATAATGCACATTTTTGTATGAGGTTTTAATTTGATGTATCATTTTAAATTTCCAAAGTAATTTTCTTGAGTGTAAAGAAAAACAATCTAATAAATACCTATCTAATACTATAATATGATGTGTCTGGATTTTTTATTTTTGGAAAAATTTAACTTTATACTAAGTTAAGTAACTTTTTTTTTCAAAGTTAACTTTTAGCTTAACGAGTTAACGAAAAAAATACGTGTAACCTTTAACCTAACTAAACTTTATTATTTGAAAATAACTTAACTTAACGAGTTAAAAAAAATCTTAACTTGCCCAGCATTGGAAATTGTAACTAAATAGTTCAGTCAAGCCGCAGTGGCGTCCGCAGGGGGGAGGCTAACGGGCTGAAGCCCCCCCCCCCCATTGTCCGTATTATTATTACTTTTTCAAAAAAATATTATTCAAGTTTAAACTTTCAACTATAGTAAATCTCATATATGTCTTACCAGAATGAATTCATTTTTGAAAAAAACATTGTATTTGCATACCAATTTTCATAAATCATCTGTAATTTTTCGGTAAAAGTATGAACTACTTGTATGAAAGACCTTGTATTAAATTGTCTAGCCTTAGATATACATATTTTATATTTTATAAGTTTTGAACTACAAATTAACCGTGGTTTTGACGAAATTTGAACTTTAAATGCATATAAAAAATAACCATGATGCCTATGTGTTGTTAATATTTTAGCTATAATAAAAAAACTTACACATATTACATTTTTAAGCTTTTTGACCTGATAAATAATTTTTTATTGACATTTATAGAAAAAAAATTTAATTAATCAAATACAATCCAAGTTAAGACGGTATAACCAAGCTTGTTACCAAACAATTTAAATAAATTTTCATTTTTTTTTCTCCAATTATTTTTAGAAGCACTAAGAATTTTCAATTTCGACCTCCTAAAAGTACTAACTAGATACAATTTGCTTCCAAAAACATACACTGGGCATCGAAGCTTATAATCAGAGCAATTTTTTTACCAGAAGAGTTGAAAAGTTACAAACATTTTAAAATACCCCAAATAAACGTCTGAAATTATTAGACTTGACAAAATAAAAATTAAATTGTAACTAATTTTCAAGCCCCCCCCCCCCCAATTGAAAAATCCTGCGGACGCCACTGAGTCAAGGTCAGTAATATTATATGTAAACTTATTAAAAACTAATAAAAGGTATACTATTTAGTTATAAATTACAATGCATTATTTAGATTATAGGATATAGCCATATGGGTTATAGAAATGTTGAAACTCTAAAATGTTCGTTGCCGTTGAATCGCGCTACATTATATATTGAAATTGGTCCATTTGTTGCTGATGTATCATGATTGTATGTACTATTTTGTTTTTCCTGCGTGATACAACAAGACAGGCGATGAGTTCCAAGCCACCTGATCAGAAGACTGTCCGAAGCTCACGACCAACGCTATATTATAAGTAAAGTTTATCCTGAGGCTGCCGAAAACCCCACAAATAGCCGTTATTATGGCATAGATATTTGAAGCTTTTTCTAACAGGAAACTATAGAGTCTAGATATCACTGAATAGCAGAGATTCTCTATTAGATAGCACCCTACAACCTTCGATATTACTAGAAAGAAAAGTAGACACTGTAGAATATGTACTTAATTGGTACAGAATACTTATCGGTATCATGGCCGTCGACCGTCGTGACTTGAAAGTAGAAATATTGGCGCCACCAGGTATTTAGTTGCATATATTCGCGCGATACAACTAAACAAATTAAAAGACAATTACCATTTTGATCACTTATAAGTTATAAGAGAACACCACTCCAGCCTATTGTGTTGTGTCCGTTTTATAAACGTAGCTACAAAGTGTACAACATAGCAAATTAGTCGGCTGCAGTTATTGCAGTTTTTTTTCCAAATCTCCAAAGTCATCTTGATTGAATATGAGCCTGTATTTCG